CACTACAATTACATATATCCTAGAAAGATGCTTTGAAAAAACAATAGAGTTGGGGATAATGTGCCAATTGTGTTGCCTTAGTGTCATTTGCTAAGCTTCATGCCATCAATTATCATCCACACAAAAAGTGGTACGCCATTAGATATTCAAACTCCTTTTTTCTGTAGCATATGTCGAGATTGCATATTTTTTTCCGTTTCTTCTTCAACTATTTTATTAGCTTAAAAATGATATAAATGAATTTTCTCAAATCCGTTTTTGTCTTAATTTTAAAAACAAGGTAATCGTGATTTCCAAAGTGAAAAAAGCCAATAAAGAAAGGGACCTCTTCTAGCATTGGCTTAGCATTAAACATACACTAGTGCAAAATATACATTCTATAACTAAGCTTTAACATTGGTTAAGTTATAACCATTATAATAAGTAGTCACGACTGGCCCCTCGGTCTTGGCGTGACTATTTATCTCAAGACTGGCTCCTCAGCGCCGAAGGCTTGTTATAGCGACAAGGCTCGCCATCCCTTCCTGGATGATGACTGTCGCCTCTATATGATGAACAACTTATCATCGCCTCGTCATCATATTTTGGACTGGCTCATCATCATCGTCGTCCTTACATCACGATCGGCCCCTCGATCTCGGTGTGACTATTTATCTCAAGACCGGCTCCTCAATGCCGAAGTCCTGTTATAGCGACAGGGCTCACCATCCCTTCCTGGATGGTGACCGTCACCTCTGTATGACGATCGACTCATCATCGCCTCGTCATCATATTTTGGATTGCGTCTGTCACGCCCCAGACCGCATCCGAGCCACATAGACAACCGCCGTACAACCCGATAAGAACAACATTAGTTCATCCTTATTGAATCATACAAGGCGTCCGATAGATTCTATTGGCAAACCGATTAGTAAATACATACAATCAACATCAATATCATAATCAAACAAATGCGGAAAATATAATATGTTTGATAATTAGCCACACATGGCAAACACGAGCACGCAGGCTCCCAACTGTTTTTAGAAGAAAACGTTGTTCAAATATCCATGAGCAGTTTATAAATTTCAAATACAAATGGAAGCACGAACCACGTCTTCCTCCTTGAACGATCACCCTAGGCAAAGGTGCAGGTAGCAGGACTCTAGCCTTAACCTGAAAAATGTGAGGGCCCCCGGAGGGGTCAGTACTCCATAGAAGTACTAGTGACAAGCAGGCTATATGAAGAATAACTAATGTTTCAGACACGAGACCCAAAAATAGGGTGATACATATATATAGATGTCTCTCATCCACCCGATGATACATACTGTATATATACTCGTAAAATACTCAACCCGTAGGTCATTTACCTTAAAGAGTCTTTTAGAGATAAAGTTCTTACCTGACTTTTCTCACTCCTTTCCCGGTTGCCTAGCTCACAAGCTATAGTATACCTTCGATTCATACTACCGAGTGTTTTAGGATCATTTACCGTCCAAGGCACTCAACCCAACCTGGAGTATTTAGGATCATTTACCATCCAAGGGCACTCAACCCCAACCGAGTTTCAGGATCATTTACCGTCCCGGGGATGCTCAACCCCAACCGAGTTTCAGGATCATTTACCGTCCCGGGGATGCTCAACCCCAACCTTATTCCTTACCAAACCCTAACCTGGATATGGATAACCTTTCATTCCCTTAACTATGGACAATTTCTAGCCCTATAGTCATATAAACATCCTTAGTAACCAACGTGGATGGGTCTCACCTGAACGGCCCACATTAACCTACTCAAAACCGCCTGTTTTGAGCATAACCCAATACCCGGTCGGGTATCCAACCATACCCGGTCGGGTAGGGTGAGGCAGTAGCCCCTGGAGCCAACTTTACTTGAGGCCCGATCGGGTCTATACTCATACCCGGTCGGGTCTATACCCATACCCGGTCGGGTCTAGTGTGGCAGTGGCTTCTGGAGCCATTTTTAATCAAAACGCGGTTAGGTATTTACCCATACCCGGTCGGGTATCACCTTTGTCTTGGCGGTCAACGCCGGTTTGACCACCCAAACGAAGTCCGATTAACGTGAAATTTTATATACATGTACTTTTTGACGTCCTTGATCCAAAAATACCATTTTGGACCCCTGTAACATCATACATAATAAGTTATCACATTTTTAATCATCAAACTTACATACCATGCTTTTCAACTATGTTTTATGTATAATCATGGCATAAGCAAACACTTGGTTATCTTTAATCATTCCATAAAACATATCCTTGATTACTTTAGGTAATCTCATGCCTCACGCAAAAGTTATAAAGCATAAAGTCTTCTTCTCACCTTAGTGAAGCCTTTAAGAAGTTATACCCTCCCGGTTGAACTCCGGCGAAACTCCGGTGAACTTTGTCTAGCCCCGGCGATTATTCCGGCGACTCTTTCAACTCCTTGAAAGCTCTAGGAATACCTTAGGCAAGTTCCTAATAAGGTTTCATCATCATAAAACCCATATTAATACAAATAACCTGTACAAGGTTATTTTCCGACGAACTGGTCACTTTGGTCTCTAAGTCCGTTCTTGAACTTAGAACTACCTTCCAACCCCTCATTCTACACTCCCAATCATGTAGAACAATCCTAGGGTGTGAAATATGATTACATAATCATATGAGAAGATTAAAGGAAAAAGGAAATGAGATTAATGGAGTCATTACCTTGTTAACCTCAAGTTTTCCTCCCTAACCTCCTCTTTTTTCCCCTCTATTTCTCTCCTTCTTCTTCCTTGAGCTTGGTTCGAATTGCAATGGAGGAAATGAATATTTTCAGAGCTTCTCTCTCTTCCTTGGATGCCTTGGTCGAATGAATGGCTAAGGGGGGGAAGGACAGGGCTCTATTTGGCTTATTCCACAATGATAGCACAAATGTGGCCCCACCTTGTCCTTTTGATGCTTTATCAATCAAGTCAACACCTTCCCCTTCACCAACCCTGCTATTTGGACGCCCAAGACATGCATTGTCTCAAATAATTTCATGGGGTGGCCCCCACTCATGTGGGAGGTCATCCCTTTATGTCTTGGTGTGTACAATCGGCACCGAAAGTTGTATTTCCCGGACTGTTTTAATTATATTTTATTTTATCGGGTCAAATAAAATATGACACATGTTCTCCATCATTATTAGACCTTATAATGAATATACATTCCTCAACTTTAATTTAGGAGTCCCCGGAATTCCTTTTCGGGCTTTTATCTGATAAATTGTCGATACTGATAATCGGGCCTCGTCTGACCAACTGGTCAACCCTATACTTTTGTCACGTCCCAAATTGGATATCCACCACCATATACATATTATCTAGGCCAATATGAATATAATATATGGTCCCGATAATATCGTGCGGCCCCCACTTCCGGTGTGGGCCCCACGTGAATTTTACTATTCACGTAAAAGAAATGATAAAAATTTACAATCATGTAAAATGCGTTTACTCATTCCTCAGGGTTCAATACATGATTTGATAAAGTACAAATATTTGGGGGCGGTGTTACTTGGGGCCTCATCCTCCCACTTTATAGATGAGGATTGTTGCTTGAATTTTTGGACCGGTCCCTCATTGCCGACGTCCATACATCATGACCGGCCTTTTGACAAGTCGTGATTATATTTCTGAAGACCGGTCTCATCCCCGCCCCTCGCGGGTGAGAACCATTGCTTGGAGTTTTGGACCAGACCCTCAACGCCGAAGTCCGCACATCACGACCGGTCCCTCGGCCTTGGCGTGATTATTTATCTCAAGATCGGCTCCCAACGCCAAAGTCTTGTTATAGCGATCGGGCTCGCCGTCCCTTCCTGGATGGTGACAGTCGCCTTTATATATATGACGATCGGCTCATCATCGCCTCGTCATCATATCTCAGACTAGCTCTAATCATCCCTGTCCTCGTATCTCGACCGTCCCCTCAACCACAACGTGATTCCCTATCTTGAGATTGCCCCCAGCGTCGAGTGTCTCGTTACAGCGATCGGGATCGCCATCCCTTATCGGATGGTGACCGTCGCCTTTATATGATGATCGGCTTATCATCACCTCGTCATCATATTCCGAACCGGCTCCCCATCATCGCCGTCCACACATCACGACTGGGTGGGATGAATCAACAGGAGGAGAGGCAACCAAGAGTATCCCTTTGGGAAATAGAACCTTTAATTACATTCCCAATGTATCCATCTCCCTTTCTCTGGCTCTAGCGACCATGTCCCCCAGGACTACCAACCATCAATGGTATTTCCAACCACGCCATAGCAGCCTTCAGAGCCCACCTTCCCTTAAACAATCCCCCTAATATTTAAGGGATAAGGGTAAGATAGGACCTCGAACTTTGGAAAACATGTCAAATAAGGTCATATTTAGGATGCTCTGTCCGGCCGACGCCATTTAGGGCGTTCCCGGTGGTGTTTTTTGATGATTTTTTTTGAGAATATTATTCATTAAGTCTAGTTTACTCATATCAAATTTGAATTAAAACGTCAATCGGGAGTACATTCAAATGAATTCTTGAAGATAACTGCTCTTTTAACTGCGCAGTTATCTTCAAGAATTCATTTGTATGCCTTCCGGATTGAATTTTTAGTTCAAATTTGATATGATTAAACTAGACTTAATGAATAAGATTCTCAAAAAATGTCATCAAAATTTTCCATCGGAAACGGCCCCAAATGGCATTGGCCGGACAGAGTATCCTAAATATGGCCTTATTTGACATTTTTTCAAGTTTGAGGCCCTCCTATCCGACCCTTATCCCAATAGTGGGGATCATTTGTGATTCAACAACTGTGCCATTTGTAAACTCAAGTTAAATGAGTAATTATGGAAATGATTTTCCCATGATCTCTGAAATGACAACTCCTGTTTGCATCGAGGAGTCCAGTGTCATGCAGGTTTCTGAGAATCTGGGCCCAGAAAACCCACCAAACAAAACCGCCCCCTATGTCTCCATGGGAATATGTTTGTGCATATGATGTACATAAACTCTCTTGGATGATTCTATATATATTTACGTTTCATACAAAAAATAAAATAACATGTTCTTTTCTTACTCCTTTTCTTACTCCTTTTCTACTACCCATCTATCAGGTTTGTAAGTTAGGGTCCCTGGGAAGGTCACTAGACATCACCAAGTTTAGCAGTTACCAAGAGCTGCGCAGTGAACTTGCTCAGATGTTTGGCCTTGAAGGATTACTGGAGGAACCTATAAGATCAGGCTGGCAGTTTGTATTTGTTGATCAGGAGAACGATGTTCTTCTGCTCGGAGATGACCCTTGGCCGTGAGTTCTCATACTATCCAGCGAGTTTGTGAACAGCGTATGTAGTGAATATTCTATATCTATCCTTCATTTGTGAGCTGTGTCTCCTGTGAGAAGAGAAGCTGGCCAGATAGCAGTAGTCTTTTGCAACTTTCAATCGTCTTTCAGTTGCTTGTCTCCTCCGCAAGCTCGAAGAATCACAGACGTGGGTAGGTTTGTTCGGTGTTCTTCGCAAACGGAGGCTTGAGAACTTGGACGGACGGGTTAGAAAACCCATGTATAATAGTAATGTATAAAAACTTTGGGCCCCTAATAGAATGACCCCATCCTCCCCAAGATTATCTCTGCTAATCAAACAACTTTTTAAAAAGGTAAAGAGATAAGTATAGCATTTTGATGTTAATAGAATTGGTTCATTGCATTGACCACAAAACCAGAGGGCACAATATTCTTTTTAAGTTTGATATGCTTAACGATTTTGATAGGGTTAAATGGAATTTCGTTTATGACATTCTCAAAGCTTTTGGTTCTCATTTCGAGTTTATAAATCTCATAAAAAACAATTTTGAGAGTACTTGGTTTTCTGTGTTGATAAATCGCCAGCCTAAAGTTTTTTTCAAACCTAATCGAGAAGTATAATAGGGAGATCCTCTCTCATGCCTTCTCTTAATCTTGGTATATGAAGTTCTATCTAGACATTGTAACAGGTTGATCACAACACGTAAAAGTATCCCTTATCATATTCACCCTGGTCTTCCTGTTATCTCTCATTTAAGCTATGCCGATGACCTGGTTATTTTCTCAACGCCGGTAAGAAATCTCTGAAAGCCTTGAATGATACTATCAAAGATTATGAAAAATTTTCTGGGCAGAAAATCAATGTAAACAAAAGTTTCTATATTAGTGGTAAACATACTCCTAAAGAGATTTTAAAAAATGTTAATAGGATCTTTGGCATTAAAAGGGGTTCCTACCCCATTACATACCTCAGAGCCAACATCTTTCAGGGTAGAACTAAAATCTGTCACTTTGAAAATATCCTTTTTAAAATTGACCAAAGGTTAGCTGGTTGGAAAAATAAGTTTTAACCCCTGGGGGCCATATTACCTTGATCAGTACAATTATTACTGCCCTCCCTCTTTATCACATGGCCAGTGCTATTATCCCAAAAACTATTTTGTAAAGAATTGAGCAAAAATTCTCCAGGTTCCTTTGGTATAACTCGGATTTTGAGAAAAGGAAGATTTGGAGAAAATGGAATAAAATGACATATCCTACCAATGAAAATGGGATGGGTTTTAGAGACCTCTTCACAATCCAGCACTATTTTTACCTCAAGTGTTGGTGGAAAATTATCAAGCCAATTGGTCTCTGGGGTTTATGGTTCTCTAAACTTAAAACGCCCCCAAATCCTACATTTGGAAAGGTTTGCAATCGGTTAAACATACCTTTGATAGTCTTACTACTTTAGTGATTTGTAATGGTCATAGCTCCTTTTGGAATTTGAATTGGACTGAATTTGGCAGGTTGGCGGTTCGTTGAATACTGAGGAGGCCTTACACCCGCGAATGACCATAAGGGAAGCATTTTCTCATCACACTTTCTTTCATGATATTAGGAGTATCATTCCGGACTACATTGTTAATACGGTCTTGAGCACGGCTCACCACTTCTCTAGGCACTCTGATACCGTTGTTTGGACGCCGAATCTCGATGGATCCTACTCTTTTAAGAGTGTCTATGAGGAAACCAAACCTAAAAGATCTACTGATATCCTCACTAGTAAAATCCGTGTGTGTTTGCTTGTGAATCGATATATATGAATATATATATATAAGGGGTCGAATATATATAAGGGGTCGAATATATATATATATATATATATATATATATATATATATATATATAAGGGGTTGAATATATATATATATATATATATATATATATATATATATATATATATATATATGAGGGGTCGAATATATATATATATATAGGTTTTGGTTCAAATAAGAACATGATCTTACGAGAGAAATGAGAATGAATCCGGACCATTAGATTTGCTCTAAGTGAAATTCAATGTGCATTAGATTAAAGTGTAATGTGCATTAGGTGAAATTGAAATGTGCAGCAAAAATGGTACGATACATCGACATTATATGAAGCTGAATTGTTCATTAGGTGAGATTGAAATGTGCACTAGGTGAAACTGAAATGTGCAGAATAAAATATATGATGTGATTTTATTTTTGTAACTTTTATTCCGCACATTTCAGTTTCACCTAATGCACACTTGAGTTTAAATTTTTATTCTGCACATTTCAATATCATCTGACGTACATTTCAGTTTCACCAAATGCACAATCCAGTTCCACATAATACAATCCAACGGTCCAGATTCGTTCTCATTTCTTTCCTGGGAGTCCGTTCTTACCCCAACCGTTCCCTAGATTTTGGTTCAAATAAGAACATGATCTTAGGAGAGAAATGAAAACGAATCTGGACCGTTAGATTTGCTTTAAGTGAAATTCAATGTGCATCAGATGAAACTGTAATGTGCATTAGGTGAAATAGAAATGTGCAACACAAAGCGTATGTTACAATGTCATTATGTGAAGCTGAATTGTGCATTAGGTGAAATTGAAATGTGAACTAGGTGAAACTGAAATGTGCAGGATAAAAGGTACGATGTGATGTTATTTTTCTACATTTTATTCCACACATTTCAATTTCACCTAATGCACAATTGTGTTTAAATTTTTATTCTGCACATTTCAGTATCATCTAATACACATTTCAGTTTCATCAAATGCACATTTCCGTTCCACATAATACAGTCCAACGGTTCAGATTCGTTCTTATTTCTCTCCTGGGAGTCCGTTCTTACCGGAACTGCCCTATATATATATATATAAATATATATATATATAAGGGGTGAGATCACATACAAAGCATGCTTAATTTACTAACCTACAAACTCAATAATATGCAACACTTTGAACTTCAATATGCAATACAAATAATCCAAAGATGGTTTGCATAGGAGAATTAGTTTGCATGTGATCTCACCCCTGCATCTTTACATTATTTGTATTGAATATTGAAGTTCAAAGTGTTGCATATTATTGAGTTTATAGGTTATTAGTAAATTAAGCATGGTTTGTATTTGATCTCTAATATATATATATATGTGTGTGTGTGTGTGTGTGTGTGTGTGTGTGTGTGCGCGCGCGCGTGCGCGTGTGTGTTTGTGTGTGTGCAGGGAGGGGTAGCAAAGATGGAGCCTGGAGGTAGGGAGGCCTAACAGAGATGGATGGGCTGGGCGGCGGACGTATTAGAAGGAAGAAAGGAAGAGAAAGAGAAGGAAAAGGAGAAAAATAAAAATAAAATATTTGACACGTGTCGCCACATATCACCACGTGTATATGTATACAGGAGAACCGGTTGTTTGCCTCCTAAAAAGTTGATTTGATTTTTTTTGAAGATGGAGTTAGGGCAGAGCACGAGTCGGGTTTGGGCGGGTCTGGTTCAAAATGGTAAACCCGTTCGGGTATCGGATTTATAATTTCAAACCCTACCCTATCAAAAAATTTATCGGGTTTTTCGGGTTGAAGAAGTTCGGGTTGCGGTCGAGTTGATTCGGTTTTCGGGTCCATTCGGATTTTAATTTATTATTGTTGAAATTGTGATAAATAAAATGGTAATTGGTAAAAATAACATTCAAAGTTATACCGGTATAACATTCAAAGTAATAGTTATATTAATACGGTAATTGACATATTTGAGTATGTAAAATAATAATATATGGTGATTGACATATTTGATATTGTGATAAATAAAATGATAATTGGTCAAAATATCATTCAAAGTCATAACAATACAACATTCAAAGTTATAGTGGTACAAATACGGTAATTGAATATTTGAACATGCATAATATGGTAATTGACATACAATAATTGAGATATTTGAACATGAATAATAATTCAAAGTAGTATATATACTACGCTAGTTCGGTTTTTCGGGCGGGTTGGGTAGCATAATTGGTAACCGTACCTGCTACCCGCTTAAGTCTCGGTTTGCAAGAATCGGATCGGGTTTGGGTATTCCGGGTCGGGTTTCCCGACACCAACAAAAAAATCGGATATATCCGATCGGGTCAATCGGGTAGGGTCGGGTTTGCTCTCCCCTAGTTGGAGTACTTGATTGGATGATAATTGAGTTGAGGTCTTAATTGACCATTTTGCAATAGTAGGTGGGCTTATTTGACTGTTTTCCCTATGAAATACTGATATACTGTACATTTTAGATAGATAATTGTCACTTATTAATTGATTGCTATAGTCCATAGTTTCACATTTCATTAGTATTTTTATTGTTGTTATTTTTGTTATTGTTAGTATTATTATTAGATCCTGTTTGGTGAAATTGATTGCATTTACATAAATTGATGAGATTTTGGTTGTGCCGGCTGAAGTTGTTAAATTATTAAAAAATTATATTTAAATATATTTTATTAATAAAGTAACAGAAATATATGAAAATCATTAAAATGATTTTCTACAACAATTTCAACCAACTGCTAAACAAAACTTCTTCCTTACTTATTTTGATTATTACAAATGCTACATGTTTAATAAAAACACGAGCAGTGATTGGTGTACACGTTTTTTGTGTACACCTTTGACACACTTGTCTGTCTATGCAGACAAAGTTGTCTGTATATAGACAACTTTATAGGGCCCGCGTAGACGGACAAATGTGCCAAAGGTGTACACAGAAAACGTGTACACCAAGCATTTTTCATAAACCATTGACCGCTTAGGTTGATAAGTTGAAAATAAAGATGACCAAAAGGGCTCTTAGTGTTGCTATGACTAGTAGAATTGATGATCTGATCCTCCTTGTCCTCCTCCTTTTCCTACTCCTGTTGTTGCCGATGCTGCCTCCCCATGACTACTCTAAATTGAGTCATAGTTAGTAGACAAAGGAATTTCTCTTGTCCTATAACTATTATTCAAGTAGGAGTAATCAAAATAGACTTCATCATTAGTCTTATCTCTTTTCTTCTGTTCAGGGCACTGATTTCTGATGAACCAATAAAAGTCATAAGTTTGGTCAAACATAAACCCGTGTACCTTATGTCATATAATTGACGTGAAGTCACTTTCTCCAAGTGACATGTGTTTTTTTATCACACACCTTGTAGTAGGTTATAAAACTTAGTGTTCTTAAGCTACTTTAGAAAAATGATTTGATCAGTTTAGCCTCTTTTAGCAAAGATGTCTTTCATATCTATGATCTTGGAGTATAATCTCTTGTGTTCCTCTTGTATGGTTTCATTAGATACATGATATCAATCGGAAGTTGCATATTTCATAACAATCAACAATTATTTAGCATAACACAAAGATTAGATGAGAGGAATTAAATGGAGTATTGAATTAGATAATGATAAATGAAAGTTAGTGACACAGAATTCAATGATCAGATTTAGAATGGCGCTCTCTATGTAGAATGTAATGAACTTCTATTGCTTGCTTAGTGTTACAAAAGCTTAGACTTTAGATATATAATGACGCTCTCTTAAGGTTAGATGTGACACCACATCCGAACTTCCTTGAAATTCAAATTAAATTTCAAAGCTTATGTATTCAATTTCTCTATTATCGAACAATTGTAAAACGATTAAAGTCTTACATAACGTTTGATTAATCATATTAATGTTTGGGCTCATATAATAGTAATGGACTTCCAAATAATTAATTGAGCCATCTTATTTATATTGGAGCCCATCTTACACTTTTGGAGCCCATCTTTCCACTTGATCTAAATAAATTGGGATGAGTACAAAAAGTACATCTTATGACAAAAGATAAAAATAATAGGACCCATCTTTCCACTTTTGGAAGTATTGGGGATATTTTTGCTCCCAAATTAATTAGGGGACATAAGAGTGCGCCCCACACCTTCCTAGAACCTGCAAAACAAGAAGAATAAGTTAGAACACATAAATGGGACGGACCTATTGAGTTGAGGGCTCAAACAATACAAAAAGAAATAAAAGAGGAGGACCATCCCATGTTTGTGAACCACATGCTTAGATATCATTGTGAGAGCTCCCAAACACTCCCACAAACCCCCCATTCGAACCCCAGCAGATAGGAGAGAAGAGAGAGCCTCATAATCCAAAGAAAGGGTGATAAGAGCAACTGGCCGCAGAATATTTTCCGGTGGGTAGGCCTTCTTGTTCGACTCGTATCTAGAGCTACACTCATCCACAAAGGGAGTGTGAGGTGTCCACTGAAAGCTCTCAAGAATAGGAATCTATAGACGTACGTTTTGAACAAAACGGAGCAGTTTATGGTCTCCAAATCGTCCTAACAAAACACAACCTCGCAGAATACGTTTTTGTATTCAAAGTAAGTTTGAATCCAAAACTTTCCTTTCTATTGTCTAAATCAAATAAATGATTGAAGAACTATTATACACTGTTTCAAGTGTATAAATTGTTATTATAAAGATACTTTATTTATTGTAAAGGTTAGATACTAACCTAGAATAAATCTTGGAAAAATCAGGAAACGAGTTCGCCGGAAAACACCCATTCTAGGGGCCGTGTTCGTATCGACGTTTAAGGGTTGAGATAGCACTTTGAGGAGGCTGTTTAACACTTTTATTTAAGCAATGAATCAGTTCTTAACCCACCTTTACCGAAGCTTTGCCCATTGGATCAAGAAGGAAAAATTTAAAGCTCAATTAAGGTGAGGATCGACATCTAGTTGCTTACAACTTGTAGGTTAAGCATGAGATTACCTAAATGTCTAAGTAATGGTTTTCATGGATTAAAATGACTTATTAT